CAGACGATTGTACAACATTCGTCCTGATTGTTTTAATCCATAATGATTTCTGTAACTTTATTGAATATAGTTCTCGAGAACTTTGATTATATGTTTCAGGTACCTTAAATCCTTCAGAGATTTTCATATATATATCATTATCAAAGAGAACCATATAAATATCATGTGACTACATCCATAAGATGCATGTCAAGACTTTCAAACACAATCAAACCAATTAAATATCTCAGTGTAATTGCGTCCACCATCGGAGAATATGTATCCTCATAATCAATACCAGATATTTGTGAAAACCCTTGTGCAACTAGTCTTGCCTTATATCTTGTGACCACACTGTTTTCATTTCTTTTTCTTACAAATACCCATTTGTATCCCACAAGCTTAACGCCTTCTGGTGTTTGGATTACTAGTTCAAAGACTTGACGTTTTGAAAGTGAGTTTAATTCTACCTGGATTGCTTCTTTCTACTTAAGCCAATCTTTTCTTTGTTGACATTTTTTGATAGATTTTGGTACAGAATCTTCACTTTCGAATATAATGTCAAGAGCTACATTATAAGCAAAAATGTTGTAAATAACTATATTATTTTGGTTCCATCTTTTCCTTGTCATGACGTAATTTATTGAAATCTCATTATTATCTTCAGGTACTTGACATTCCTTGGTATTTTCATGAGTAGTGTTTTCTTCTGGAATATCCATATTCTCAATTGAGTCATTTTGATTATTGACTACTTTTCTTTTTCGAGGATTTTTATCTTTAGGACCCATGGGTCACACTCCTAGCGTGTCGTAGACTTATTAATTACAACTTGTTGTATTGGGATATCAATTTTTGATGGAGCATTTACAGCCAGAATATATGACTTAGTCACTTTCTTAGCATCTATAAATGCATCTAGTAATTGATTTGCTATATTTTGAAAATGGATTATCTTCTGAAGTTCAAGTTCACTTTGATCTGTACGGGGATCTAAATGAGACAATAAAGATGCATTCCATGTAATTTCTTTTTCCAACTTCTTAATTCCTCCCCCTAATGTTGGAAAATTTGTCTCGTTAAAATGACAATCAGCAAATCCTACAGTAAATACATCACCTGTCAAGGGCTCAAGATATTTAATGATTGATGTGGAATCAAAACCAACATATATTCCCAACCACCTTTGAGGTCCCATCTTAGTACATTGTGGTGGAGCAATGGGAACATATACTGCACATCCAAAAATTCTCAGATGGGAAATTGTAATGGAGAATATTTGTGATAGGTTGTTGGCCTAATACGTGCAAGTGATGTTGCATGCAAAATACATGTCCCCATACAGATTTAGGAAACTTAGCTCTTATAAGCATTGGTCTAGCAATTAACTGCAGTCGTTTTATAAATGATTCGACTAAACCATTTTGTGTGTGAACATGAGGTACACGATGTTCAACAGTTATCCCAATTGCCATACAATAATTATTAAATGGTTGGGATGTAAATTCACCAGCATTATCAAGACAAATGTTTTTAATTGTATAATCAGGAAATTGTGCTCGTAACTTAATTATCTCAGCAAGTAAGCTTGCAAATGCAAAGTTTTGACTTGATAATAAGCATACATGTGATCATCTACTTTATGCATTTATTAACACCATAAAATATCTAAAGGGCCCGCTTGATGGATTAATAGGTCCACATATATCACCATGAATTCGTTCTAAAAATGTAGGTGATTCGGTCTCCACTTTAGTTGGTGATGGTCTAATGATTAATTTACCTTGAGAGTAAGCATCACATGACAATTCATTAGATTGAAGAATCTTCTGGTTTTTCAATAGATATCCATGTGAATTCTTAGTAATTCTTCTCATCATTATGGACCCTAGATGACCCAATCGGTCATGCCAACTAGTAAATATATCAGGATTCATGAACTTCAGGTTCATTGTTGCATATATTTCAATTACTCATCCAGAAGATAAAACAGGTAGCTTTTCCAGTATATGTTTGCCATGTGAGACAATAGATATAATATAAAGATATTATATATTATTCTTCTTATCAGTCTCAATATGATAACCATTGCAACGTATATCTTTAAAACTCAATAGATTTCTTTTTTATTAGAGAATAATGCATTGTCAATTGTAAACTTTGTTCCTCTAGGCAAAATAATATCTGTGTTTCCAAAACCATCAATTAAGTTTGCAGAACCTGATATTGTATTGACTTTTGCTTCTAGCATTGTCAATTTGGAAAAATATTTTCTACTTTTCAGTATTGTGTGCGTAGTTGCACTATCTGCCAAACATAAATCTTCATTGCTCATTTTCGAGTAATCCAACATATGAAAACTGTCCATGCTTCTTCATTAAACAAAATAATCACAATAAAAAGATGAGAAGAAAAAAAAAACTTGAAATACAAAAAGCCAACCTTAGTTAACATAAACATGAAAGATATATGAAAGGAAAAAAACATTAATTCTCGATGTTTTCAAAGTCAAAGAAAACACTTGCTATTCCATTCATTGTACCAATTTGATCTCCAGGAGTTTCAAGAAAATCTGTCACATCCAAATTTATTATGTTGGCAGGATCAAATATATCACCATCTTGATATGCAAGATTTGTCTTCATATTTTTTCCATTTTCTTTTAGGGAAGCTTAATAGAGATCCACCAAGTGTTTCGACGTACGACAAATACGTGCCCAATGGCCAGTCATTTCACATCAAAAACATTTGTGTTCAACATTTCTAAAACTCTGATCCAGTGGAGTTTTTCCTTTATGATCATTATTTCGTGTGGTTCTTTTGAAATTTGGATGATTATAACGACCACCATGAAAAGAATGATTATTTCTTCCTCTACCGCGGTCACACCCTCAATCACGACCAATTATTAAAATTCACAGCATTTGTTTCAGGGAACGATGTTGCTCCCATTGGTCGAGATTCATGGTTTTTCATCAACAATTCATTATTTTTCTCAGCAACAAAAAGACATGATATGAGCTCATAATATTTCTTAAAATCTTTCTCTTGATATTGTTGTTGCAAGAGCATATTCGAGACATGAAAGGTAGGGAATGTCTTCTCGAGCATATCTCCATCAGTAATTTTTTCTCCGCATAACTTCAATTTCGAATTGATTTTAAATTATGCGGAATTATAATCACTTACTGATTTGAAATCTTGGATCCTTAAATGCATCCATTCGTATCGAGCTTGAGGAAGAATAACTGTTTTCTGATGATCATATCTCTCTTTTAAATTTTGCCATAATACACGAGGATCTTTTATTGTCAAATATTTCATCTTCAATCCCTCGTGGAGATCGCAACGAAGGAAAATCACGACTTTTGCCTTATCTTGACTCGTCGTTGTATTTCCTTCTTTGATGGTTTCTCCCAGATTCATAACATCGAGATGAATTTCAACATCCAGTACCCATGACAAATAATTATTGTCATTGATGTCAAGGGCAGTAAACTCTAATTTGGTGAGATTTGTCATGGTAACACTATCACAAAGAAAAATATATGTATATTAGAAATTTGATATATACTAAGCATGAAAATAAAAGGAAAATCAAATAACCTAACTTTAGAACCTACCTTTAGGATGGCAGAAAGTCATGCTGATAACGTCTTGTAAAATTATGGAGCAAAATGAGGCACCACGAGTCACGAACAACGAGGAAATACAAGATTTAAACAAAGACAAAATTAAAATATAAATTTGGAATTTTTGTAAATTAAAAAGCACAATTTAGAATCAACATAAATTTTCACCAAAATCCACTCAAATTTTTCCACTCTCAATTTATCAATGAATTGCCACTATTTATAGACAATTTGTACAACCATCAGGTGTTACATTTGGACACTAATAATAGGTAGAAAAATGACACATAGGTTATTGAGAATTAAGCACATGGATAAGGGTCAACTTGACACTTTGAGACACTAAGCAAATGAAAGAAATTGACACATGGGGTTAGGGTCATTTATACATCTCATATTTTAACATCTAGGTTGGCAACAAATTTGGATAATGTTCATAATACCATTTAAATTATTGCTTTGATGGTATAATTAGACACATATACACAACGTCAAAAAAAAAAAAATAGACACATATACATACCAATTAGAAAAAAATAAATTATTGCTTTGATGGTATAATTAGACACATATACACAACGTCAAAAAAAAAAAATAGACACATATACATACCAATTAGAAAAAAATAAATTATTGCTTTGATGGTATAATTAGACACATATACACAATGTCAAAAAAAAAAAAAATAGACACATATACATACCAATTAGAAAAAAATAAATTTTTTTGATTGGTGGGTTGGATTTTCTAAATCAACCGTTGAGCTTCATGTGTCATTTGAGTGACATGTTTATATTTATTCAAATATGTTAATAACAAGATAATTCAATTATAATATTAACATTTTGCTAACAATATATATATCTTTTGTGTAAAGACTTAATTGAGAATTTTTAATATATAAAAAGATAAAATTGATAATTTTGAAATATCAAAGACCAAAAAGTTGTGTTGTTATTATGTTAATTACATACCATTTTTTTTATAAATTTGTATTCGAAAGTCAACCAACGAAACAGCCATCAATCATCTTCAATGCAAGCTCATCACAAGTTAGATTCGTCACCCGGCTCCATTTAATAATTGAGAATTTAGCAGCCAAATGGACCAATGCATCTTCTTATAATCAAGACCACATACATTTATTTATTTATTATTATTATTATTATTTTTTACTTTTTCCCAGATAAATGGATGCTTCAGTGGAATTATCTTCCTCCAATCCTTGACTGCCATCTTTCTTCAATCTGACACATAAATAATCAACTTAAATTTCCCATCTTACCCTTCATTTGAACTGCTTTCATCCGTCAAACAGCCCCCTCAATGTGAGCATTTTAGTAACTTCACTTATCCAAAATTCACACGAGTCTATTATCTATCGATACATACGACGCGCATGGGAAGATTGTTGCGTCGTCTTCTCTTCAGTCTTCAGCGTCTGTCTTCTCTGAGTCGAAACTTTTCCCACCGCCGGGATGTCGCCGGCGACGGAGCACGTGCCTCTATTACCGGCGAAGAATCAGGCTGCGAGAACGGCGTCGGTCTCCGGCGCGGTGTTTAATGTGTCGACGAGCATTATCGGCGCCGGAATCATGTCGATTCCGTTCACTCTCAAGGTGCTCGGCATAATCCCGGCCGTCGTTCTGATCCTGCTCGTGGCTTTCATGACCGACATCTCGGTGGAGCTTTTGCTCAGATTCACTCATTCCGGCGAGTCGACGACCTACGCCGGCGTGATGAACGAGTCGTTCGGCCGGATTGGTTCGGTTGCTACGCAAGTTTGTGTCATGATTACCAATCTTGGCTGCTTGATCATGTACCTGATCATAATCGGTAAATCTTTTCACACTAATTTATATAGCTGATTTAGATTAGGAGATTCTGATCGGCGGCCATTGAATTTGGGGAAATGTTTCATGAAATCGCAAATTGTTTTTTCGATTTCTCTTCTGAATTCGAGGTAGACTTCGATTGATTCTCATTAGATTAGATCTAGAACAAATGTCGTAGAAGTTTTCCTCACTCCGCAGAGTTTCGATTCGGAAATTGATCTCTGGTTTTGCTTTGTGTATTTGTTCGATTTGTGGAATTTCTAGGTGACGTATTCTCCGGCAACAAGGGAGGAGAAGAAGTGCATTTAGGAGTGCTGCAACAATGGTTTGGGATTCAATGGTGGAATTCGCGAGAGTTCTCAATTTTTTTCACCGTCGTCTTCGTTCTGCTTCCTCTGGTTCTTTTCCGACGCGTCGGTCAGTAATCGGAAACTGTCGAATTAAAGTTAAACTGCTTGACGGAAGTATGAATTTCTTCGTTTTATTGCTTTAATGGCGGCCGATTTGAAGCCTGCCATGTGTTTGTTTGTTTGTTTGTTTGTTTCAGATTCTCTGAGATTCAGTTCGTTTGTATCGGTTGTTCTGGCCGTCGTTTTCGTTGGAATAAGCTCCGTATTGGCGATAATGGCGATCGTTCAAGGCAAAACGAAGAGCACGAGATTGGTACCGGAGGTCGATGATAAAACCTCCTTCTTCGAACTCTTCACTGCCGTTCCAGTTCTTGTCACTGCCTTCACTTTTCATTTCAATGGTAAGAAGGAAAAGAAATAATGATGATTATTTTCAAGCTTTCTATGATTTAATAGGATCCAAATTATATAGTATATTAAGTTTTTAATATTAAATTAAATCATATGAAAGGTAGTTTTTTTTTCCCTTGTTGAGAAATTTTTTTTCTTCTCAATTCTCAATTTACACAAAAATTGAAAATCATTTCTATTCCAAAATATTTCCAATAGTTTAAAAAGAAAAAAAAAACTTAGGTCTCCGAAATAATAGACCTACAGTGACATGTGAATCTGTGGTTTTACTAATAATTCTTTTCGACTAGACAATGAGGATCACCCTTAAGACTTTGTTTAGCGTACCTGCCATCTTAACAAATGATGGTTAACATATAAGATAGACTTTTACAAATATAATTTGCGAGAATCTATGATATAACGAAAAAAATATTATTTTGATTTTTAAAAGTGATAACCGAAAGTCCAAAACAAATATACAAAAGAGTTGAAGAAAAAAAAACGAAATATTGTGATTTGGCCATTTTTTTAAAATATAAAAGTAACTAGGATGGCTACTCCAATTTATCTATTTTATATACTTTATGCTATTATTTTTGTGTTTCTCGCCCTCGCAGCTGGGCCCACGACCACATCCACATGTTTCATGAGTTTTGCACAAGTATCAACATTTTCTGTTTTTTTTTTTCTCCTCTTCTTTTGCCTCTTTCTTTGGATATATGGTGTTTTCATATTTGTTCTTCGATCTCATCCTTTGGGTTTACTTTCTTTTCTTTCTCTCTTTTTTTCTTTCAGTTTTCACTCGTCCTTTGGATTTTGGGTTTTGGTAGCTGTTTGTGTTCGTGTTTGAAATGGGAAATTGACATAGATAACTTAAATAAATTTGTTGTTTGCTCAACTGACCTCAATTAAAAAATTTGACTCAATGACCCAATTTAATATTTTGAATAGAATATTAGGATTAAATTACTATTTTAGCCTCAATCTGGAATGCAAGTGAAGTCGCAAACGAATTAACACGAAAGGAAATTAATGGGCAGGTTCGACCGTGGTTTTGACCGTGGTTATTGTTAGTTTGACCTTGGTTAGTAGAAGAGTAACACGAATTTTTTGCTTCACCATGGCCGTTAACTATAGGACCCCGGTCGTGGTGTTCATGAAAGGCAACTAATGGGCTAGATTGGACCGTGGTTAAAATGAATGCTTGACCATGGTCGTGAAAACTAGTACCACGGCCGTGGTGTTCATGAAAGACAACTAATGGGCTAGGTTGGACCGTGTTTAAATTGTTTGCTTGACCACGGCCATGAAAAAGAGTACCACGGTCGTTCATTTAATGACCATTATACCCCTCAGTTCAAATTCAAACTGTTTGTATCTCTCATTCCATCTTCTTTTCTGTTCTTTCGTTTTCGTTTTCGTTTTCGCCCATTCGATTTAGCTCCCTCAATTTCCTCTGTTTCACTCTCTACTAGTCAATATCGTGCTCTGAATCGCTTCCCATATCCGAAACTTCGAGGGTTAGAACATTTTATTTCGTATTTGCGTCCCTTTTATGGCAAGAAAATAAGTTTTTGTTTACTTATATTTGCGATTTTTTTCGTTATTCGTCCA